TCGCGTATATATATATATATATATATATATATCATATATAATCTATGCAAAATTAGTAAAATACATGTAGTAACGTCCATCTTTTCTTTATAATAATAATATTCAACTAGAATGACCGACATTTGCTTTGGAGCAAATGTAGCGGATGGCTTCACCACATTTTACGACATGGCAGGGAAAGAGGGAGAAACACAAGGGAAAACAATGTTTTACATCCATATAACTACAGTATGAAGTAACAACAGTTGGATAGCTATCCCCTACATTATTGGTTAGGATTTTTAATTGCATATTGCAAACTGTTCATTTTCAAGATAAAAAGATAGCGTTCATGCCCCGCATTCCAATGCTGGAGCAGGAAAGCTTGACATACCTGCAATACCAAAACACTTGTCAATGAATAAAGTTCATGCTGTCATTATGGCATGGCTTTGTACAGGTGTTCATTGAGCTAACCCAATCAAATCCCAACAGCCAATCAGCAAGAAGAATAGGGGAAAGCTGCATGCCATTCTAATGACTCATGCCCAAATATGGTAACACACTGCTATAGTACATTTTCTATAACACAGCCAAAAAGCTCAAATAAATCCATTCTAAAATCCTGTATCAAGAAAATGACAAAAAAAAAAAAAAAACGCCTGGGGTATTTCACCACTGTACTTTTTAATGCCAAATGTCATGTTATTTGGCCCAAAAATGAAGGAGTTGAATCAATTTAATGAAATGGCAGGAGAAGAAGGAGTAGGAGGAGAAGAAACATGAGGAAAAGCAATATGACTTCATAGTGGTGAAGGCATAACAATATTAATTCAACACATACACATGACCGCTTATGTTCACCACTCTTTCCACACAGACTAGAGTTTAAGCTGGCGACCCATGCGGACAAAGGCTCTGTGGAAAGGGCCATCAACAATGTCCAGTATCAAAAAGGTAGCAGAACGATGACGGGTAAAGCCCTACAGTCTGTTCATGCTGAAATGGATTGGAGAGAGCCACCGACTAAGCGGGTATTGCATTCAACCCTTTTATAATAGTGACATTGTTGAATCTATTTCTAGAAAGACGGCCTCACTCATTCTCCTCCTTGCCGACAACCGGTTAATTTCCAACTGTTTGAGCTAATACAGAAAGTGATATATTAGATTTTGAAATTATCGCCGACATGCATTCTACCAATGACAAGATTACAACCAAAAACCTTTATCGACTGCATCCCACATAAGCGACAACCCAGGTGTGTCTTAATTGAAATTTCACTTCTACAATATATTTTCTTTCTAGCCTAACGACATAGGTAAGACTCAGCGAAAATCTTCATGATCAAGTCAATGTTCTACAGCTTTCAAGTACAAGCTTCTAGTTCTAATGGTATTGGTTTGTAGCAGGTCCGTTGTGTAAAATTAAGGATTCACAATGTATTATAAGGGTTGCTAATCTAGCATTGTCAGTTACTATAATAATAATTCTTTTGTGGTTGCAGGTGGTGATTCTACTGACTGATGGGGAATCCCATGACCCAGTTGACAATCCTGCTAAAGCCCTTCGACAAGACGGTTTCGTCGTGTATGCAGTTGGAGTTGGACCCACACCTAACGACTTGACTCCAATGGTCAGTGACCAAGGCAAGGTGACCTCGCTGAAAGACTTCGACAAGTTAGAGAAGGAGATTGGTGAACTTTCTGAGGGGGTCTCCCGAGGTATTTTTCAAATCTTCTATAATAATATCATGATTATACAAAAATTAAACCTATAAACGTAATACACTTATGTGGCTAATCAATTGACTGATTATTTCCAAATTTTACTCATTAACGTATGATGATCTACTTCTCTTGTTTCTGTTCGGAATGGAGAATTAATCTAATTTTGTAACATTCAATAAGATACTTCAACAAGATCAAAATTTACATTGAAAGATGCATAGGAAACAAGTAGTATAAACAGCTTTTATGGTCGTTCCAAACTATCTAAATTGTATTGATTTGAGTAGGATTGAAGAGCTATAGACATTTGACAATTCTTGCGTGAAATCCTATTGAGTCATTTAGATTACATATATCATATTGTACTCCGTCTCAGGTGCAGAATGGGCAGTATACAGCCTAGAGGGGTTCAAAGGTAAAGAATGGCAGGCCTTCCCGGGTTTCTACACCAGTGCCGATTTGGAGAAGAATCTTGGAGGACGAGTTGGCTCAGCAAAACGCATTGTGTAGGCAGATAAGTAACTGTTGACGGACAGCAACAGGTGTGGCATAGTAGGGTGTGGCTTAGTCGTCACTTTTGTTAACCCTTGTCCTGCTTGCATTCCTGGCACAATATTTTTCAATAATTTCATGTCTTAATTAGATCATAGACCCCCAAATTTTTTTGCCCTGCAGTGGCATAGTTACTTCCGCATTCGTTGCGTTTCGCTGCGGTGCGTTGCGTTGCACGAGAAACACCCCCAAATCGTACCTATACACGGGCTATATAGATGGTACTGTATGTGCCGCGCGACATATGTTGCGCACAGCAGGACAAGGGTTTTAACATGTTCAAACCTAAACAAAATGTAGGTGGCCCCTTCCTTTATCATCACAAATCATTTATTATGTTTATGTTTTCAATATAGTCGGTGAGGCTACATCAAATAATGGTTTAATAATATTATGTAACTGCGTGTTGATGAAGATTGGTTTGTGTAACATTATATTACTGTGTTATACGAACATACTCTTGTTTTACCAGATTGTTTCAAAAGCTGATTTCATCACATATCAAAACAATGTACTAGGTAGTACATGTATTTAGTTCCACTATTATTTGAATGTATAGTTGGTGACACCTTAATAAGTAATAAATTAAGTAAATACTGTGTAACTGGTAATAAGGCTTGGTCTGTATAACATGGGTTTGCTAAATTTTAACATCGGTTTGCTATGTCATACCTACAAATTCCAATGTGGAAGTGTTTAAGCGGTCTTATTCGATGTGGTGGCATCACATACACTGAGGTTATTATTTACATATATCAATAATATATATCTATATAGATTTACTATGTTCGGATTATGTGGTTTGATTTGTGTACCTAAACTTCAAATCACTGATCACCAGTGTCTTATGCTGAAAGTGAAAATTGGTGCCATCACAGGAGCATTGATTATATTACAGAAAAAGTGGAATTTTTAAAAAATTCACGGTGTACTTGGGGCCGATACCCATTTCCGAGCTGAACTGTGTCACGATTATGCAGCCTAATAGTATGTAGGTCCTCACCGCTTGGCTTTAGCCCCTGTCACACGTTCACGACAGCAAGATAAGGAGCCGCCAAGATTCATTTGAAATGCCTATTGTATTTCGATGCCTTTGGTAATGTTTACTTTCAATGAAACGCTAACAAAATGTACACAGTATAATGAGTATAATGTCGCAAAGTGTCAGTTCTCGTATAAGAATTCAAAACATCTGGGAACAAGAAGTTTTTCATGATAGCACCAGCGCGTGAAGAAATGTCAGTAACATAACATAGCATAGCATAGCAATAAGCATAGCATAGCATAGCATAGCATAACATAGCATAGCATAACATAACATAACAATTAACATAACTGGTAACCAGTGTTCAAGTGATAAATGATCGGTGATATACAATCAAAGACGTTTTAAGTATATTAACCATTCTAGAACTTGGTAATATTAAGCATTAGTGAACTTTAGTTTCTGGTGTTGTATTTGATTTGTGAAACATCAGTCCTGTTTGTCATACCTACACTTCATTTCACTGTTCACCAGTGTCTAATGTAGAGGTTGGAAATGATTCTATCGGTTTGGTACAGTCACAGGAGCATCGTAATTATATACATATTCTAATAGTGGGATTAATCAATATAGATAAGTTCAGCCCCTGATGATGTGGTTTGATTTGTGTAACATCTGTTTGCCATACCTTCACATAACTCTTGACCAGTGTTTAAGAAGTCAATGATTCCATCGGTTTGGTACCATCAAAGGAGCATTAAGTAACTTTTTGAAAACATCTGCATATTCTTAATATTTGATTTATCAACTTAAGTTTTGTCCCTGATGGTGTGACTCTGTTTGTCATAACTTCACATCACTGTTTACCAGTGTCTTATGTAGAGGTGATTCCATCAGTTTGGTACCATCAGAGGAGCATTAAGTATATTAAGTGTATGCATATTTTAATACTTGGTGATATTAATCGATAATTAAGTTCAGCCCCTGATGATGTGGTTTGATTTGTGTAACATCTGTTTGCCATACCTTCACATAACTCTTAACCAGTGTTAAAGTGGTCAATGATTCCATCGGTTTGGTACCATCAAAGGAATGTTTTTAAAAGCATCTACATATTACAATACTTGATAAGATTTATCAACAGTTAAGTTTTGTCCCTGATGGTGTGACTCGGCTTGACATCTGTTTGTTATAACTTCACATCACTGTTTACCAGTGTCATATGGAGTAGTTAGAAATGTTTCCATCAGTTTGGTACCATCAGAGGAGCATTAAGTATATAAAGTATGTAGTACATTTTCTAATACTTGGTGAGATTAATCCATAGTAAAGTTAGTCCCTGATGATGTGATTCGATTTGTTTAACATCTTGTTGTCACACCAACACATAACTAAATGTACCATCGGGGAGAGGGGTATTAAGTATAGTAAGTAACATAGTCTAATACTTGGTGATATTAATCCATAGTTAGGGTTAGTCCCTGATGATGTGATTCTATACCTACACTGATGTGTTAAAGTGGTAAATGATTCCATCGGTTTGTTACCATTACAGAAACATGATCATGAGTTTGGAACACTTGTGACAGACTCTTCGTAAAAATCAGAACATCTAACTGAATAATCATTGTCAGACATAGAAGTATTAAAGTTTACTTTAATATTGGTGGAGGTTAGTTATGCTATAAGCCATATATATAAACCACACAATGCCATCTAGGAGGTTGACTGAAATCACAAACGGAATCGTTAACATTGCATAACAACTTTGATGTAACTTGTGTAGTCAAGTGCAATGTGATTTCCGTCATGCATGCATATTTCTGCAATGTCATCACATTTATCTCGGAATAAAGTTCAAGACAAGTGTGGTTCAAAAGTGACTCCTTATCATTATTGACTGAGTGGAAACTTAATTGTATTGCAGTGAAATAAGTGAAAAAAATGCAACAAATACTGTTGCAGTAGAAACTATTTATAACAGTGACTGCAGTAATATTTTTTGCTGCTAGGGGGCAATCACTTCATCTAGTTAGGCAAAAGTATCTGCAACTTTACTAGTTTCTGTATCACCCTTATGCATCCATCCCCTTGCGTGATGCGCACACATACAGCACAGCACACGGGCACCACAGAATCAGTTTTAATGCCAGAATGTTCAATAGCACAGTAGCAAAATATCCAGGAACTGGTCAAAAAGGGATTGTCAACCCAAGTTTTCACCTTTTAATTAGTCTGAACAACAAACCAACCGGGCAAGTAAGATTGATTTCTGTCCAAAACAATTGTCAAGTCATTTGTATAAGCCTTCACTGACTGAAATATTAGTTAATATTAATTGTTATGATTACCATTTATTAGTTAATACAGGAATTCTTACAATTCTTCGCTCAAACTTTGTTGAGAAAAATAGCTACATGTCCTTTGCCAGCTCCCCAACCCCTATAGCTATGAACCTCACTTTGTACAAAAGCCAAAAATTGTACACCAGAGTGCAAAACAACCAAACTTCTGTGGGGTTTCTAACTTACGAAAAATTAACTCTGCAAAGGTCTATATTTGCTCACCAAGAAAGTTTTTTCTCCTACCCTGCAAAAACTACTAGACTAAGTTTATCAAATTTCCTCCAATTTTCATGGATCTTCCATACAGCCTGGTGGGTTCCATCTCTCAATGTGGAATGCAGACATCTCCTTTATCTGTACCTATTGTCTACCTGTTTCTCACCTGGACATCATGACATGTGATCTCTGCACACCTGTTGCTACTACTGAAACTTAGGCTGTGTTTATGTGAAGTCACCCAAACCGCGATTCGGGTAACTCACATTCCTCACATCTGGTCCACGTGCCACACATTCCTGTGAAACTGTGTCTGATCACAATCCTCTTGAGCTACATTTATTGCTGTTTGATGAAAACACGCTAGGTATAGCGTGTCATTATTGTCAGAGGTCAACGACCTGCTTGCTGATGCCCCCCTCCCAGCGTATCTCGGCCGAATGACGACGTGGTCCCGCCAGAGGCGATGAAGCTCGTCCTAGAACAGACACATTATTTGACCATTACTTCTCTTTAAGTTGCTGACACGTAAAATTTGGTATTGCATATAGATAATTTCACCCCGTAATCCATGACCAAGTGAAGTCACATTGAAATCACATTGCGTTCAGACGCAAATCGCGATGCGGGAAAACCGATTCAAAACCACCTCTAGAAGTGGCTTGGGATCGAGGCGCTTTCAATGTGATTTGGAGCGTTCAGATGGGGCCACTTGAAACCGGCTTCGGGGTAAACCACATGTAAAGCGCCTTGGGTGTTTCCACATAAACACGGCCTTAATTACCTGCTCAGGATTTCTGGCTGTTTTCACACTATGATAAAATTGTCTGGATCAAACCGGATAGATTCACTTTGATCATCAAAGCCGGATCAAAGCGAATCTATTTGGCTCGATTCGGACAATTTTATCATAGTGTGAAAAGGCCACAGAAGATCTTGGAGGGACATTGGCTACAGCCGCCATGCGCCCTGATGCTTGCGGCTTGATTGATTGAAAAGGCCACACCAATTTAATTTCTTGGCTAACGGATTTGCCCGCTTCATTTTTTTCTGATTTGCAAAAAAAATTCAGAATCAACTGCAAAATGCTCATATTTTGCCCTGAACAGTTGAAAACAGTCCGTTTCTTCCTAGTTGTTACAGTTATTCCATCTTTCAGTGGTATCAGCCTGGTGTGTTGACTTCATGGCTCCTATCGTACCATTTTGGGCCATAATAGGATGCCTAGGCCTGTTTTTATTTTTATTTTTTCTGCCCGCCCGCTCCATTATTTTTCTAGCAAAATCCGTTAGGCCACACCAATTTAATTTCTTGGTTAACGGATTCGCCCGCTTCATTTTTTTCTGATTTGCAAATAAGAATAAAAATTCAATATCAACTGCAAAATGCTCATATTTTGCCCTAAACAGTTGAAAACAGTCCTTTTCATCCTAGTTGTTACAGTTATTCCATCTTTCAATGCAATGGTCATTAAAAGTTCAAAATTCATTGTTTAAATTTTGACCCAGCCTGGTGTGTTGACTTCATGGCTCCTATTGTACCATTTTGGGCCATAATAGGATGCCTAGACCTGTTTTTATTTTTATTTTTTTTCGCCCGCCCGCTCCATTATTTTTCTAGAAAAATCCGTTAACCAAGAAATTGAATTGGTGTGGCCTTAACCAAGAAATTAAATTGGTGTGGCCAAATTGTCATTACTGCTGGGTAGAACACATGACCTCATATACTAGTATATCGTTCGTTTCATCTGCCTGATGATTTCCCTCATAAGTCATAAACTGATTGACCTGCCTGAGTGTAGGTTACTTGAGAGAAAAATCCTCATTATCTACATTGACATTTGTATGATATTAAACATTTATCAGCACATGTATTTGGGGTATTACAAACTCTGTTTTATTTATCAGTACAATGTACAAACACTAATCTGACTTGAGAATATACATTATAACTGTCTTGAGAAAAATATGAAAGGAGAACATTTTACCCTAACTGTTTACAATTCTCTCTACAGAGTATATTTTATTGTGGTTTCAAACTTAACTGTTCACTTTGGAGATCAACATTCACTGTGTAAAGCAAAAGTGCTATGTACATGTAACAGTTCATCATTTGTATACATTAAACGTAATGTAGCAAATGAAACTCCCCCTTCCCTGCGTCAGCAAAATATGACGTCACACATAGAAGTTCCCCAGTGCTGGGTTGGCAAAACATTACATCACTCAGTTACGCCCTATCCACGTGCAAGCGAATCAGAACCCAAATCATCCTTTTCGGCCTTATCTATGTAAATTACTTTCTTGACTTAAGACGAACTCCGAGACCGCGTGGTCAGTCGAGAGAACCGAGAGGAATCCCGAGGTCGACCACTGCGGTCCGGAGCCGAGCTACTTCCACGTGGGCGGCGTGCCAGCCATCTTCATATACTTTGTAACTCTGTAAATGTAGTTAAGTCTAAAAGGTCTCAGTTGCCATCCCGGTAACGATCAGTATCGCGGCAAGCAACTGTTGCCGGTAAGTAAGTGCTTAAATTGTATTCCCCCTTTACCTTTCTGGACCAATCGCTAAATTGTCCCCTCCTGGCTGAATGTGTATCTCCCCTATTTTGTATAAGTGGTATCTGGTATGACTTTGTATTATGCTATATGTGTCGTGTGCGACTGGAACGAATAAAGTAGACTAAAGCGAGTCCATCGTTCTCCGGTGCCTTTCCGTTGGTGAAGTTACTATAGCATAAGCCCAAATCTAGACCCGCTAGACATACATGTGACAGTAACAACTTTCCTGTAGAATTCTATTGATGATAATGCATTTTTCACAAAAAGTTGATATGTTTTCTGTTTGGAATGTTTATGCTGCTTAGACTGGCGATGTTTTGTAAAAATGGCTAAAAATGTCCCTAGTTTAATCAGCATACAGTCACTAGTCTAGCAAATCAGATTGGACCCAGGTTTAGACCTAGGAAAATTAATGTTGTGTTTCTGGTTTATCCTAAAAAAAAGTATGGTTAGTAGGTAAGGGGTTTTCTTTTTTTTTTAAGATATTTTTTTTATATTCCGGCTAAAATAATACAACAAATAAAGTTTAACATTGCATCAGGATCTGTCCACCTGTTTGCTTGTGGATAAATATTGCACTCAATTCTAATACTGCAAACAAATTGCTAAAAAAACGTGTTGAATGAGGGTTTGATTTCAGATGTTGGATCGAATATCTTATAGCCTTACCAGCAGTTGATAAAAAAAGACTTGGGCTGGCAGGTTTTTGTTACGGTTGGTCAGGAAACACAACATTGTTTCCTTGGCTCTACACTGTAGCTTAGACTCTTGTCTTTTGCTTCTTTCCATTGCCAGAAGGTTCCCCGCAGTGTGAAAAGTTTATATAAGGCCACACTAATCTAATTTCTTGCTTCTCGGATCCATTTTTTTTATTTGCAAAAAAAAAAAACAATTTGTTGGTTCTAAATTAACTGCAAAATGCTCAATAAAAGACATATTTTGGCCCCAATGGTTGAAGAAAGTCGTTTTCTTCCTACTAGTAGTTGTTAAAGTTTTTCAATGTAACAATGCAACTTTGTTTCATTAAAAGTTAAAAATCTATTGTTTTAATTATAAACCAGCCTGGTATGTTGACTTCATGGCTCATATTGTAAAATTTCCAGCAATCATGGGGTGCCTTGGCCTGTTTTTTTTATTTCGCCATGTCTCTTCATATTTTTTCTGAAAAAATCTGAGAAACAACAAATTACATTGGTGTGGTCTTACATGCTGATTTTTAATGAGATGACGGATTTGGCAAAATTCTGTCAATGAGGGAAAGACAGACGCTGGCTACAACCCAGGTTTCCCTCTCAGGTTCTCCACATGTTGAAGGCAGGCTGTGTTCTGGAGGCTGTCCTGTGTTCTCCTGATGACATCAGCACATCTCCACTAGCTGCTGCTGCCTGGAACAAAAAAAAGTCCCGTTACACTCCCATTGCAGAGCATAGGGGTGGTGCCTATATCCATTTCTGTAGCCCTTGGGCAATACACAGTTGTGTAAGGCACTACAGCAGGGGGCTGGTCCACTGGTAGTGCTGTGTGTTTGACCTTCCCACACTCTTTCTCATATGTGCTGAGTGCTAAGCAGATAAAGAAGTGTGACCATTTTTAAAGTCTTTGGTATGACGGCCGGCCGGGGTTTGAACTCACGACCTCCCGGTTACAAAGCGAGCACTCTACAGGTACACTGGCTGCTGCTGCCTGGAGCAGGGGAATGTTCAAGGTCACCTTCAACTGTGGACCTTGATTACAGCTAGATATTTGAGTGATATACATGTATAGGGTATATTACAGTGTCATAAGGACTGGTCATTTCCTATAACCATCGATTGAAATGGACCTTTCCGGATCGAACACGTCTAACCCCCCTGTTCTATTTTGAACACCTCGGTCAAAATCAGCGCGGAAATCTAAGAGCAGCAAAATGAGTTGATTGAATTTGTGACATCAGAGGCAATTTCAAGTTAACCAAAGACATTTTGTCATTCTTGTATTTGTTTATGAAGCCCTCATTATTGTTTACATACAGTTTGTATATCCATGTTTGCGTGCTTATGTTAATACTTGTGACCACCAGAGCTGTTTTTTTCTCATTTCGTTTTTTTTTCCTGGCTTGTACTGTATGTACATGTAGCTGCGATGCATGCAACAAATACCGTGGAAAACCTGTCACAGATAAACGTACTCTGCGTAACACAAGCATCGGCTGTTTGTCAGCAACAGGGCAGTCTTGTCCACCTACCGTGTGATGTTATGCGGTGCATTCCGCGTCTGCATTGAGTGAAAACATTTTTCTCTCATTAAACTAACCCTGTCCCCTCCTGAAATACGTCTTACTCTGTGGATGTGTACTTCAACGAAGATAGCGGAAAGTTTTTTGGGTCACTACTGAGAGAGTTTTTTGCTGCTGAAAACTCAACCCTAACGTTGGGCGGCAAAACCGACATTCTGGCGGTGGCAGCCTGCGTGGTCCTTCCCGCGCTGATTTTGACCGAGGTGTTTGAAATAGAACAGGTGGAGGGGCTACGGTGACCGGAGAGGTTCATTGTCTGATCTCATGACGTGCCCAGAAACTGATCTCGTGCCCAGGCCCTGTGAATCAGTCCACCCTATTGGTCGCTTTGTTTTATGTGGGATTAAAAAAAAAACAAGGTGTTCATGGTATTTAATCACCACTGGTAAGGTTATGGCATTCATTCATTCATTCATCCATTCATCCATCCATCCATCCATCCATCCATCCATCCATCCATCCATCCATCCATCCATCCATCCATCCATCCATCCATCCATCCATCCATCCATCCATCCATCCATCCATCCATTCATTCATATAAACTGTCATCTAAAACATTAAGTAGATGAATTCTTTCTACATCCTAAAACATTGATGTGTGACATCATCTATGTTTTTCCTACATAATTTAACTGATTGATGTCAAGGCATTACCATTTGCACATCCGTTGCCCTTTGACCTCTGAGGGGTTGTGACCTCATGACATAGGCTGACCCGGGTCGTGAGAAGTGGGCGAGGTCAGACTGGGGCATGGTCGGGTCAATGTCCTTCACCTGGAAAAGAAAGGTCAATTTTGCATGGCATCAAAACGTATCCTTGATAATTTCAGTTCTTCAATATCTACATAATTCAGTAAAAAATGTGACATGTTAACATCGACAGACTGGACCGTTATTTTCAATTTCTTATCGTGACCTCTGACACTACCTGTCACATCTTGAGCTGCCATCGTGTCTGGAACGCTCCCTAGCCGAGCAGAGCAATAAAAGGACTACTTGCAATTGGCCAATTGACACCTATCAAATAGCGCTTAGTGGACTTTCCACAGGCCTTCGGAGGGAAAGAAACTACCTCCCCGCGGCCAGACTCCCTTTGCCAATCTTACTCTCGTTTTTGCTGAATTCTACGATCCGTATTCCCATAGAAAGGCCTGGTGGAGGCTATAATAATTGGGCCAGTTAAATATACAGCAATCATCAGATTCCTGTACAACCAATGCAATTTCAGGGCAATAAAATGGGATTTTTAAAGTCAATTTACTGGTCAGTAGAATCAATCGTATCACAAAGCATACTGATATTTGTCAGGCAATAATGCAATGTCGTTGACAAAAAAATCAAAATGGTTGCTTGTTTTACATTGTATTCATATCTGGTTCTAGCTATTTATTGAGGGTAATCAAAAATAAAGGAACTGCCCGTAGCTTAAATGTTTTGGGGCTACTTCAAATGTTTCAAGTATGAAATTATATGAAAATGTAATAAGAAATGGCAGTAAATGTCAATCATACATGTATCGGAATTCCTCAATCAGAATATTTTTAATTTTGCTCAGGTCTTAACCCTTGTCCTGCTGGCATTCCTGGCACAATATTTTTCAATAATTTCATGTCTTAATTAGATCATAAGAAACCCAAATTTTTTTGCCCTGCAGTGGCATAGTTACTTACGCATTCGTTGCGTTTTGCTGCGGTGTGATGCGTTGCACGAAAAATACCCCCAAATCGTACCTATACAGAGTGTTATATAGATGGTACTGTATGTGCCGCGCGACATATGTTGCGCACAGCAGGACAAGGGTTAATACAGTTGTTCCCTCTACACAGTACTGTACAAGTCATGTACATGTACCACTTCTTCTATCAGTTTGCCTCTGAGTTAGAATTCAATGACAATGAATGAACTTTATTTATTGCATATCCACGCCCTACATGTACATGGGCCAAATGCACTTTAAGTTAAATAACTTGGGTACAAGAATAGAAGAAGCAATTGTTACATTCGTGTGCTATTTCTCTATCTACAGGATCTAACTACAGGATCTCTTCTCTCTTTTTGAAACATGTATGAACAAATTTACATAGTTTTTCAATTACATCATAGCGCTTGGCTGTCATAATATGTTTGAACAATTCTATTTTTGGCAAGTATCACTCTATCACTCGGCCAATGTATGAAGTATCCAATAGTTGGTGTATGTCAGAGTTCTCCTGACTCCCCACCCACCTTCTGTACTATCTCCATCCTGATCAGCTCAGACTTGGCTGTTCTTTTACATCCTGCAGCTGGAGCAAACACAGGAACAGTCACAACCATGCATGCACAACAACTGATGGAAAAACACACATTAAACCAACATTTTCCTTTACATGTATACTTAAGGGTACATCAATTTGATTTGTTGGTTCTCGGATTATTTTTTAAAAAATATATAAAGTGACAGGGAAAAAAATAAAAAAAGGTCTAGGCATCCTATTATTATGCTATGATAGGAGCCATGAAGTCAAGACAAAAGGCTGGGTTAATATTTCAACAATGAATTTTGAATTTTTAATCAAACCACTGCATTGATAGATGGAAAAAAACTGTAGTAACTATATAGGAATAAAAGGACTTTCCTTGACTGATGGAGGCAAAATATTTTTAGTTGATTCATAACCAGAATCCTTTTTTTATTTATTTTTTGTTGCAAATTTGAAAAAAATGAAGAGGCGAATCCAAGAACCAACAAATTAAATTGGGGTTGCCTAAGGCACCAGAACATTGAAACATTTTAATTGAAAAAACACTGTGATTGAAATTTAGTTCCACTTTTCAACATATTTGTGCAATTATCTCACATTTCTGGTTGGTGCTAAAACAGCCCACAGGATCCGGAGTTAGTGGTGCCACCACAAATTACCAGAATATAAACAAACATATCTGACAGGTAGTGTTTCCAGCTTTTAAACACACTCGTAAGGTGTCACATTTTGGGAAAGTCCATAGACATGGAGAAATTCACAATGACTAAAACAAGGCAATTTGCAAAAACAAAACCAGAGGTTTGAAATCTCTCAGTCAAGACTGATTTTTTATTGAAATTATATCTCAAAGTACCAAGAACACACACAACATCGACTTATGTGGGCTTTATTTACTTCATCATTTCAAGGATGCAATATTGATCAATTTGAATTTGAACACGTTTATTACGTTTAATATGTTGGTGTGTTAGCATCATTACGTACCTGCAAAAAAAGGCCAGATGGCATCAAGGGCAGAGGCAAAGTCGGCAGCTGTTCTGCAAAATTAATGGAAGAATGGGCCTCCTAGCAGGTGCATGCAGTACTGCAGGGGTACTACAAGCTTCAAAGTTTGAGTTCAAATTTTCTGGAAGTGCCAGGTTCATGATTTTTGAGAAGTGAAAACTTTTAAGGGTAAGTAGTGTAAGTTTGCATAATCTGTGAGACATCTACAAGTCATCAGTCATATACGTCAGGTTAACATTAGGCCACAGCAAGTAATTTTTATGGATGACATCAGCGCGTGGATTAATTTTCGCCTGATATTGGGGGGAAAAAAAAGGAATTTTGTTGCCTTCTGACAGTGGTCAACATGCCGAAAATGGGCAAAGATGTCTGTTGCCATGCCAGAAGGTGGATGGCAGATAACTATGAAGAGAGGAGACAAGAAAAGGCTCTGATTTAATGTTTTGTTTCTTACTTTGTTGCAGTGATATGTGATGTCGGCTGTGTATATGTGATGTTCCTACTGAGTCAAAACCATTTGTACAATGATTAAGTCAAAATTTTAAAATGTCGGGACCTTGTTTTCTTTGGCCCACCTTGTTTTTTTTCACCCACTTGCATTAGATTTGGAATCTGCGGAGGATGTCATCCATAAAATATACTTGCTATGGCCTTACTTGGTGAAGATACGAGATTGTGAAACTGTCATCATCATCAGGTCGGGCGAATTGCCCGGACCAAGTCCACTCTTTCTCGCCATGCCGCTCTGTCCGCCATTAACTGCCCTAGGTGTTCGGCCCTCACCCCAGCATCTTCAGCAAGTTGGTGGATGAAGGTACGATGGGGTCGCCCTGCGCTGGACTGAAACTGTAGTTAATGTTATATTCTCACAAGGAATATTAGAATACACATGAGTACTCACCTCCCTTTGGCATCCTTCATCTGCAGATCAGGTTTGTGCTGCATCAACTTCAGAATGACCTTGCCATGCCCTTGAAAGGCTGCACAGTGCAGGGCAGTCCACTTAGTGCCACTGTTACACACGTTTATCCCTGCCCTGGAACAACAGAACAACTCATAATGTTCATGAATCATGATGCAATGTTGAACAGAGTGGTGACACCAGTTAAGCATATATCATACTCCTCTGACTGTCCAGTATGGCCTCTAGTTGGCCTAGGAATGGCCGAAAAAGCTCTGTGTTATAACACCATTTACTGTTTATTAACTTTGCTGTGAATGTTAATGTTTTTGATAGCTTTTGTGTGTGTGTGTTTGTGTGTGTGTATGTGTGTGTGTGTGTGTGAGTTTGTCTGTAAGCACAATAACTTAGGCTTAGGCCACACCAATTTAATTTCTTGGTTAACGCATTTGCCAGCTTCATTTTTTTCTGATTTGCAAATAAAAATAAAAGTCCAGAATCAACTGCAAAATGCTCATATTTTGCCCTGAACAGTTGAAAACAGTTCTTTTCTTTCTAGTTGTTACAGTTATTCCATCTTTCAATGCAATTTTTTCATTAAAAGTTCAAAATTCATTATTTAAATTTTGAACCAGCCTGGTGTGTTGACTTCATTGTACCATTTTGGGCCATTATAGGATGCCTAGGCCTGTTTTTATTTTTATTTTTTTTCGCCCGCCCGCTCCACTATTTTTCTAGAAAAATCCGTTAACCAAGAAATTAAATTGGTGTGGCCTTAGAATGATATTGAAATAATCATTTGACATCCCCCTGCTGTAAGTGCTATGGGATATTCTAATATAGCTGTCATCAACAGTCGGTATGGGTTCTTCCACTACAGAGATGGGGGTGATTAGGTGCCGATAGAAAACTACATTGAATCATGCACAATCCTGGTCTCCTGGACTGACTTACCCATTTTTCAGTAGCAGCTCCACGATGTCGCTGTAACCCCAAAATGCAGCGAGACACAAGGGGTAGAACCCATCAGATGATTGCACATTTACCTGGACTCTCTGACTCAGGAGGTATTGCACAGCCTACATGGAAGGAGGGAAAGACATCAGAGTTTAATAGTTATCCTTCTTAGTGTTATACTCACCAGGCCGACTTAATTCCATGGATGACATCCTCTGAAGACCCCCAAACTAGTGCACGCGGGTGAATAAAAAAGTTTTGGCCAAAAATAAAAATGCTACTAAACCAAAGAAATACAAAGCTGGTACAATGTATTGTGAATTTGCGGCAATACATAGCGACATACACGACAAGCCGGCACATGCTGACTTTTTGCGGAATTTATTAATCGGCGCTGTACGTTTGTACTGAGTTCTTGAGTCGTGGAGCTTTGGTAGCCTGGGTATCCTCCAGAGTTACCACCGGCTTTATATTGTCGCTAACTAACATGGATTACCTAGGCCTAGAGCCAGGCCAGAGCCTTGGAGGATGTGATCTTTTTTTTTTTTGAGAACAGGCGAAAATCAATGTGCGCGCAGATGTCATCCATGAAATGAAGGCAGTGGGGCCTTATCTAATATAAACTGTTACTAGTGTTAGATCCAAGTAATATTAGATTCTTTCATCAGATCCTAATCAATCCCTGAACACTAAGTCCAGCCAAGATTATATTATATATTATATATATATACAAAATGTATATATATAATATATATAAATGTACATGTGTATATATAGTACAGTCAAATTTGCCCAAGAGACCAAAATAAGTACAAAAATGTATAAGCCAGCCATCTGGCCATAAAGAGTGCTACTTCTCTATCCCGATTTCCCCCTACAAATGAGGTAATTATTTGCTGAGAATGATGGAGTTATGGAGCATTATGTTTTTCCTTTGCAAAATATGGATGTACTGCATTATTCAACACTCAACAGTGTTGTCATATACTACACAGGCGTATCATTTAAAGTTCAAAATTTATTGTTTAAATTTTAAACCACCCTGGTGTGTGTCACTTCGTGGATCCTATCGTACCATTTTGGGCCATAATAGGATGCCTAGGCCTTTTTAATTTATTTTTTTCTTCACCCGCCCGCTCCATTATTTTTCTAGAAAAATATGTTAACCAAGAAATTAAATTGGTGTGGCCTAATGAGCAAGAAAGAAGATTACTAAAGGTCAGAAATGTACAGGATTACCTGACTCCACCGTGCCCCATGAGGTGAACTAGGACAGATAGAATTAATGTGCTATTAGGTGATTTGAAGTCATCATTGATTAAACCATCAACTACCAGCCCAGCCATTCTGATACTGATCAATAACAATTAAATGTGTGCTTACCTAGACCCAATAAAGCATGACCATCATGCACCATTACACAGACCATGCCCGTAGCCAGGATTTTGAATGGGGGGTTCTTTCCACTTCTTGAGGGACCAGCGAGCGCCGTAGGCACGAGGCGAGCGCCGAAGGCGCGATGTTCCTAGGAGTGTCCGGGGCATGATGCTTCCCCAGGAAATTTTGAAAAATGAACCTACTGAAATGGCATTTCCTGCATTTTTTTAAAGGATTTCTAAGAAAAAAATCAGAGATAACTTTTTTCAATGACAAAGTGAGCGGTTTTCCTACGATTCCAGCCTCGCTGGTGACACGAATTAGTCCATCTTTTAAAGAAAAATCTTGGACCTTTAGATAAAAAGAGGACCAAGCAAAAAGCGGACCTTTGAGCCTTGTTGAACCCCCCAAACCCCCCCCTGGCTACGGGCATGCAGACTACTGCAGTACCGGAGCTCATTAGGAAGCAGTGTTAGAAATACCCATCTGCAGTCTGCATTTTACAGACACATTTTCAATATTGCAGAAGAAAAATTAAGCAACCATCAATTTTGAAGACTGAAAACATCAATGGTATTAGCATAATATAATTCCATAGCTTTTGTGTTTACTAATGACTCTATAAACACACTAGTAATTTTGCCATAATTTTCTCAAATTGCATGTAAATATTTGCCAATTAATTAAGTAGTTTTGTATATGCCATGAGAATAGATCAGGACTTATAACTGCTAGTGTATTTGCAGAAATTATTGCCGAATTGCAGAACCAAATTTTGACATTATGCAATATTGCAGAAGACTGAAAAAAAAGTATTTCTTAACCACTGCAAGAACATTCAGTTCATATTGAAACACACAGATAAACATTATTATGTAAACAAATATATGTATTACTACAAAGAATTTAGTAATCTACATGGGAGTTGTGCAAGTAAAATTATGAATCACACAAAATTCTTGGTGCTCATTAGGCCACAGCAAGTAAATTTTATGGATGACACCCTCCACAGACTCCAAATCTAAAGCGAGCGGGCGAAAAAAAAAGGCGAGCCGAAAAAAAAAGGTTCCTACATTTTAAAATTCTGACTCAATCATTTTACAAATGGTTTAGATTCAGTGGGAACATCACATATACACAGCCAGCATCACATATCACTGCATCAAAGTAAGAAACAAAACATTAAATCAGAGCCTTTTCTTGTCTCCTTTCATAGTTATCTGCCATCCACCTTCCGGCATGGCAACAGACATCTTTGCCCATTTTCGGCATGTTGACCACTGTCAGAAGCAAACAAAATTTCTTCTCTTTTTTTGAAATGAGGCGAAAATGAATGCGTGCGCTGATGTCATCCATAAAAATTACTTGCTGTGGCCTTATACATTATGTTCAGAGACATTCTACTGGATAAATTATGGTGATTACTTCTGGATGTTTGGAGTGACATCCACCACTCTTCTTCAGTGTGACATCATGTTCAACCGGTTTTTCCAGTTCCTTTACATGTGATACAATGTAATGATTGTAATGACACATTCGTTGATCAATATGATTTGCATTGAATTTAGGGCAGCCCAATTATGAATAATATCTATAATTTATACTGTTATTAGATCGAACCTTCACTGCCCACTGTAAATCTTATATGCAGTGAAGCATACACGGGATTATTACATGCTGACATGCCCTACGTGAGGGCCTGCATGGGGGTGTAGTGATTACGAATTATGTAAAACTTTCGCCACCGATTACGAATTACTTTAAAGTCTCAGAGCTGATTACGACTTTACGATTTGCGGCTAATGTACAAATTACGTTGATTTTTGCGGAGGCTGTCTATGAATTACGAAGTCTAAAAAGGCCTGATTACGCATTACGAAAACGGGCATGCAGGCCCCCATACATCGGGTATTGTTTCCCCAGGGCAAATCAATGTTCATCCCATAATTACACTTTAACAGGTGGCTGGTTACTATGGCCCAGTAAGTCAGGAACATATTGATGTTGCCATGCTTTTTTGACCACCATGAATTATACCCCAACGTGTGTGTTTTGACAAGCCGTTGCTAACATTATCGGAAGCAACAATCTGGAAACTTCATTGGAAGATTTTGACAATAGGCTTATCGACTGTTTGAGACAAGACAAATCGAACCTTACTCTCCAAGCAGAGGTTTGTGTTTTGGGGGTATTTTTAGCGTGTTTTTAAGCTTTTTTATCGGGGTTTCTCTTTTGCACTGAATTTTCTAATGGGTTTGGTGGGAAAATTCAACACGCTAAAAATACCCCCAAAACACAAACCTCTTGTGTTGGAGCAAGGAGCTTTCATCACCTAGCACTAACGGCGTTCTCTCGTGCAAGTATGTAGCCTTGTTACGAGCAGGCTTGAATTTTCTTAGATACTGTAGTATTAAATGGCTGACTTTAAAGAACCGTTTACTTATTCCAAGCCTATTCTGTAGAATGTTTACTTACAGGAGTATTTCCCTCAGCCACAGCGCTGGACAGGGCGTCTGCTGACATGGGCGCGGCCATTTTGAACTCGCAATGTATGTCGGGAAATACTACTGCATTGTGGGTAATATTCCTGCGCAGAAGTGTCCAAGAAGTCCAAACAAAAATGGCGCCCAAAAACTTGGGGAAGAATGGAGCTCCCAGGCAAAACCCTAGGTTATCACCAGAAAAGAAGGCTTCTCGTCCAGGGACGGCGGGAGATCTTGGATTACCGGATATTTCTAGACCGATGTGCTACATGTTGGTGTGCGTGGTGGCGGTAGGGTGCTACCTGAACAGCCTTCCGGGAGACTTCGTGCACGATGATGTGATGGCGATCAAAACCAACAAAGATGTTTTGGGGAAAACGCCCCTCTCGGAAGTTTTCCTGAACGATTTCTGGGGGAAGAGAATGTCGGATAACACCAGCCACAAGTCGTACCGGCCTCTGTGTGTCCTTACTTTCAGGTGAGTAAGTTTCCTCAGTCCTTTCCGTTACGGTCATAATTTGTGCTCCCCTCGTACGTAACGTTACGTTTGTTGTTCTGAGGAAAGTGCGATACCGAGAGACTGCACTGTTGGCGCCAGGCGCCCCGCGGCCTCCATCCGACACACTACAACGTCTATAAAAACACAATCAGTGTCCGTCCGCTCAAGTACAGTCTCGGACATGATTCACCACGTTCCAGACGCGTAAGAAAGGGGCTGTTTGGATGATAATTTACGGATATTAGAACAGGTTTGTTCCAGCTGGCCCGGTGTCGTCTGCAAGGCGGGCTCCTTCACAGGAGAGCGGCTATAGGATAGCGAGTCTACCGCCTTGGGCGAACATTCTGGAGACGCCACTCATTTTCTGCGCCACGGATTTTATGATTGCTTTCCTTGTAAGCTGATATAAAAGTGCCCGGTAGTTGTTGATGGTGAGTGGCAAACTGCAGTAGATTGCCTGAGTATTAAATGCATGTATGTGGTTGTGAAAATTATGTGAGGGCTGCTGACTTGGGTTATATTAGAGGGCCTGCATGGGGGGTGTCCCGACAATACTCTACGCTGAATTCGCTGAATTCAGAAACCTCTCGATTATGCTTTACGATAAATTCCAAGTCCAGGTGGCTACAACGCTTTACGTAGAAGTAATACAGCAAATACGCTCTACGCAAAATGCGACGATTACGCTCTATGTTGAATTAGAGCTGTCCGTCTACGCTCTACGTAGAATTAAAACGGCCGATTACGCTCTATGGAAAAGGGCGTGCGGGCCCCCTTATACGTCTGAATTTTTTTTCTGTCATATCAATTTTGTTTGACGTAAGATCATATCAAGTGCCACCAATGGCACAACAATCCTATAACAATTTAAATTTTTGATATCTTGACCCTCTGAAATGTCATTTCCTGCATTTTTGAAAGGCAGATATTGCTGGACTAAGCTTCGTTTAATGATATCACTTTCCATATATTTATCTGCTGATTATTGAATGTGAAAGATGATGGGTCATGAGTGGGAAAATTCAGTCTAGATGTGGAAAGACAGACGCTGGGGGTATTCCCAAGAAATGAATTTCAAGCCCTGTGTATCAAAGTATGATGACTTCTGATGAGCTGCTTCCAACATAGTAAGGTTCAGGTGGTGATGGGTGTTTGATATCCTAACAAAGGCTCCAGTCTGATACATCAACTCATCACTGTCCTCCCACCTGTCTCATGACTACACCTGTCCACCTCACATGTCCTCTATCATATTACAAGGAGGCCATCTGAAATATGCATGCTTGCAAGAACTGAAATTATTATGTTTAAACCGAAGGAAAGCATAAGTATTTTTGCTCAGTTTCTTCTTCCTCCTCTTCTTCTAAGAGTAACCTCTGACAGTCTGACCTGAACCAATGTTGTGTCTGTTGCCATGGTAATTAGTGTTGGGTTACATCATGTTGCAATTTCATAGCAGGAGGGATTTAGACTCCTATGTCCTTCACCATATGTATGAATGTGTTTTGGTAAGAGGTTTGGGTAAGAAATTACTAAGAATTAATAGAGCAGACCATATGCGAAGGTAAACATTATGCATTTGCCTTGCAAATGTTACCTTTCTAGTTATACTGTGTATGTGGAGATGAAATAAGACCAAAGCCTTTTTATGGCCGCACAACACAGTATTTATGGGCGAACCCCGTAGTCAAAAGTAGTCCGGGCACAAAGTAGTGCTGCACAATACTAGAGAAGGGTGCAGAGATTGTTTTGTGCATGG